GGAATATATATATATATATATATATATCAAATGGTTTTTATTGTTATTTTTTATCAAAATGAAAAAGACAGTAAATGAAGACTTATTGTGTAAAATGAGATAATAATTAGAGAAAGACATGTAAACTTTTTTAGTCAGAGCAATACTTGAGTTTGAGATCATTTTATTAATGATTCAATACAGATAAAATTGTTGTCGTTTCGAACCTTCATTTGTTGTTATTTCGATTATTTTGTTTCTATAGAATTATTAACAAACTTCTTGTCTATAAAAAAGAAAGATAAAATATAATAATTCTTGTTTTTTTTCCTTTCTAGTGATTACAAAAACATTAGTCAAAAATATCTTGTCTAGGAAATGATATTTAAAACTATGTTGTTAATTCATATTTTTCTGTTTAAAGTTTTGAATAAAAACCTGTTTAATATATCTAAACAAAGAATGAAAGATGTTGGATACTTTCCAAAAGGTTTTTTCCCGTAGGGCCAACTTCCCAAGTGTATTTTCCCAAGTGTATTTTCCCAGGTGGCAACTTCCCAAGTGTATTTTCCCAAGTGGCAACTTCCCAGCTGTACAATATTCCAAGCAGCAACTTCCCAAGGCTGTCCTATAGCCGTAGCGTTCGTCCCGTAGCCTGTTCTTACCACAGCGTTTGACTCCTTAGCCTATCGTACCGGAATGCTCGGCCAAAATTGTATTATTTTTTCCCGAAAACGAAACGATCGTTTTTGAATACGAATGAAAAACGAAACAAAAACGATCGTTTAACGATTGTTTTCAAAAACGATTAACAACCCTAGTTGCAGATAACATTTACAGGCCTAACACTTCTCCGTATGCAGACGTGAAATATTTAAATCAAACAATAAGAGAAATTTTTTTCAAAAAATTAGGTCTGATCCTACTGTAAACCCACCAAGGATGTAGAACCATAGCCTAGTTCATTCAACCCAAGTTAAAGTTGTATCATGAGTTGAGAACTGGACAAACAAAATAATATTGATTGTATTTAACCCGTTACTACTGGAGCTGGTATCAACGGCCAGAGGAAATTTCCAGGGTAGCAAGGTTCAAATCCTGGGAATCCTTATCAGGGGAACACGGATAACGGTGCTTTTGTCGGAAGAGAAAGCAATCTGAACGTCCATTTTGTCGCCGAGAAAAGGGTTAGTCTTGATGAAGGATCAGAAGAGAGCGGTCGATCACAGCTCCAGTAGCTCCGAGAGGAGAATTAGCTCCATCTATGATTCCAGGATTAACTTCGGTTGATCCTCAGTTTGTATTTTAATAATAATGTAAAATAAATGTCCGTGCAAAATTAGTGCTTTAATCGATTCCATCTGGCTTGTTATATTGAGTTTCTCTTTGTAAAGTTGCCTTTATTGAGTTCTTTATACATGAGTTTCTATTAAGTTTATACTACTTTAAGAAATGCGCAGGATGTTGTCTTAGTAAGAGATATGAATATTAAACTTCTGAAACATACATTGCACAGAGACACAAGGAGAATAGGTCACAATTCAGCAACAATTCTAATATTATATATATTTGCACTAACATTGCTGATGATAGTTTTGATTCTGGTATTATTGTTTCAGATATTTCTGATCATTTTCCTGTTTTCTATATTTGTAATTTTAAATATAAACTCAAAAGTTTGACTCTGATTCTATTTTCAAATAAAAAAAATTGTTAGAAGATAAAAATTGGAAAAATGTTCTTCTGAATAGAAACCAGGACAGTGCATCTAATAATTTTTTTAAGTCGATGGATAAATGTTTTGAGAGTTCATTCCCTGAAAAAAAGTAAATCCTTCCAGAAAAAAAAACCTTTTAACCCTTGGATGTCTGAAGCACTGATAATATCGAGAAAACGTAAAGCCAAATTGTTTAATAAAAAGTTGAGGAGACCCTGTCAGGAAACTAGGTCTGTGTTTAAAGAATATAATGCAATATATACTCGCCTTCTGAGGGCAGTACGAAAAAAATACTTTGATGATAAATTCTAAGAATATAAGAAAGATTGTAAACAAACATAGCTAACTATCAATAGTGTACTAGGAAGGGGACGTAAAACAATTAACATTCCTGATGCATTTGTGAGTAATGGAAAAGTTCTCTCAGGGGCCGAAGAAATATCAGAGGGTTTTAACGATTTTTTTTGCTAATATAGGTCCTGATCTGGCAAAAACTATTATAGGTACAAAAACAATTTTCAACTATTTGTCACAGGGAACAAATGAAAACTTCATATCTTTCATTTATTTAATTTATCTTTCAAACCTGGGTTTATTCCTACCATTAAACTCTAGTTATTCTAACAAGTGTATAAACTATTTTGCATAAGATGATTCGCACCCTAATCTCTAATCGTTCTCCTCAACTCTATTTACTTGAAATGTGTTGTTATCATTATTGAAATTAGGTGAAAAAAATAATCAAAACAGCCAAGAGCTATTTTCCATCTGATTGCTTTATACCTTTATTGTTAAAATAATCATCAATTTGTAATTGTAAACTTTTTCTGTGCACAGATACATGTACTCCAGCAATAAACGTTATCTATCTACTATCTATCCTGACAATTTTTTTATTTTTCCTTTTCACAAATTTTTAAAATTTTTTATTTTGAAAAATTTTCACTCCCTTGTGAAATCTGACACTGGTTTTGATTATGCATAATGTTGGAATGCTAAAGAATTCTGAGCAATGTTAACTATTTCAAACTTTAAATGAATAAAAACATGGAAATGATGACAATACATTTAGTGTTTTTTTTTCTTTCAAAAATGTATGAATATGAATACATAAATTTCAAGTGACCCCTACATCTTAAAAAGAGTAACAATATCGATTCACAACAGTGCTCTTTAAACCTTTGTCTGAGTAAAAAGGATGGAGTTATTCATTTTTTCTTTTTCTTAAAATTGATTATTTTCATTTGCGGTCCTGAATAAAGTAACACGGGCATTTTTGCAGCAGAAGAAAGCGAAGAAAATTTTCTGAATTTAGTACTTTTTCCAAAAGAAACAGACGATTCATGTCAAGTTTTTGTTCGCAACAGGATATTGTACAATTGTGCATCAGATATGCCATGTTAAAAATAGAGGGTCAATTGAAATTACGTTTACTGTCCCTTTAAACTTGATGTAATAACGCATTAAATACATTAGGATTCAAATAGTTTTTTAAAAATATTATGATTTAAATTTTGATTGTTTTTAAATCTTTTTGTCTAAGGAAATTAAACATTTCTAAAGTAAAAAAGGGGGGGGGGCAATTTTCTTTATAAATTTTATTGCATAATGCTTGTTA